CAGAGCTTACTGGAAAACAAGTGGGAGACAAATGGGCAAATGGAAGACAAGTATGAAATCATGCGGCCAGAGCACTGAGAGCATCCAGAGCTTACTGGGAGACAACTGGGAGACAACTGGGAGACAAGTGGGAGACAAATGGGAGACAAATGGGAGACAAGTATAAAATCACGCGGCCAGAGCACTGAGAGCATCCAGAGCTTACTCGGAGACAAGTGGGAGACAAATGGGAGACAAGTGTGAAATCATGTGGCCAGCGCACTCAGAGCATCCAGAGCTTACTGGGAGACAAGTGGGAGACAAATGGGAGACAAATATGCGGCCAGAGCACTGAGAGCGTCGAGAGCTTACTGGGAGACAAGTGGGAGACGAATGGGAGACAAATGGGAGACAAGTATAAAATCATGCGGCCAGAGCACTGAGAGCATCCAGAGCTTACTGGGAGACAAGTGGGAGACAAGTGGGAGACAAGGGTGAAATCATGCGGCCAGGAACACAAGCCCGGAGACAAACTCAAAATCATCTGGCCCGAGCACGCACCCCTTTAAAAGGAGTAAGAACCCCTCACAGGTAAACCTGTTTGGGGAACAAACAAACAAACAAACAAACAAATCAACAAACATTTGAGGATGGCTACAACCAGCTACGATGCGATGATGGAGCAAAGGTTTTGAACCAAAGGTCCAAGTCTTGCATGCTCACTGCATGCAGATCTGATTTCTCCACTCAAGTGCAAGTGATCTTCCAATTCTGGCAAGTCGAGCAAGCTTGTAGCTCCTCGCAAAATCTGCGGCAGATCGTCAAAGCACCTCTCTTTCATTTTGTCTAGATGATCTGGTGGTGCTTCAGTCTCGATGATCAAACATGCAGAACCTTCTGATACAGAGCGGCTCTTGCGTACCCAAAGCCCCTGCTGATTGGCATGCACCTCTTTGTGATCCAATTTTCTGGGCAAGTGGTTGCCCAAGACCAACAGTGCCAGGTAAGCGCATTCCACCGAAGGCCTTCTCTGTGGCAAGACTAGTATGCCTTGGATCAGAACATGCCAGGACACAAGCACACCCACTCTCTACTCATTCTCTCACTTCCCTGGACTAGATCTGCACTAACCTGTTCATCTCAACAGATGCACCGACTGTGAATCACCTTTCTTTCAGAATTTGCTTCAAAACTAGAATTCAATGTGATGAATTTTGCGAGGATGCCTTTCTCTCTTCCTCGGCTAGCCTCACCAGCTGGTGTTAAGCGAACAAATGGCCGGCCCGTCCAAGCTTCTTTTCGAAGCATTGCGAGTGTTGCGACATGATCCTGCCAAGCTTTGCTGCTACATCACTGCGAGCTGCCTCGACAGCCACTTGCTCCTCTAGATTGAAATCTGTTTTGATTTGAGCCCAGTGCATGCAAAAGACTTTCATGTGAAGCTGTCTTGATCGTAGTCGTAGTCGAAGTCAAAGCCGCTGTGGTTGTGATTCCGGTTGTGGTTTTTGTTGTTGTTGTTGCTCTTGTTGTTTTTGTTGCTGTCGTCGTCTTGCTCAAAAGCGGCTGCAATTGACGGAAGATCTGTGTCAGAAACTTGTATTCGCGAAGATGAACCAATGATGTTCAGACAAAGCCAAAATCAATCAACAACAAAATCATCGTGAAAAAGATGCATGTCGTCTGTTGACTGCTTGATACACACTCCTGGTTTGCATAACTGCTCCGGATGGCCACTGCCGTTTTGCCTGTTGATCGAATTCTTTGGGTCGGGTTATATGAAGCTTTCATGCTCCGGCTTTTGGCTTCTCATGGACGTGACCGTCTTTTCCTATTTCAGGAGCAGTCTGACTGTGCTGTTGTGGAGATTGCAATTGCTATATTCCGAAAGAAAGTACTGTACTTGTAACATCTTGTAATGTGCAAGGGGAGTGCCTGCTCCAGTGCTTAAAAGGGATTAGCTGTTCGTGCCAAACAACCAACACCAACACCACTTTTTTCTGTACTGCCGTAGTTGTAGCGTCCTTGCTCCTAGTAGCGATGCCAGGAGCCCCTAGTAGCGTCCTTGCTCCTAGTAGCGATGCCCTTTGCTACTAGGAGCGTCCTTGTTCCTAGTAGTACCCCACAAACAGCCAAACACCAAATCTCCGTGATGCCGGTCGCCTAGGCAAGTGATGCCACGCTGATCTTTGGCCTCTAAATCTCTTTTACCAGCAGCCTCAGTCCTTAGCCATAGATGAACGCACAACACACACACCACTTCGCCATATGTTGCTCACCGCCTTTCTTTTTGGGGAGACGAAAAACGAATCGAAGCAATCACCATGGTTTTGGCAGACTGGTCTCCTGGTCTTGAAATTCGCTGGTGATAACCTTCGCTGGTTTGGCCGCTGGTCTTGCCATCTCACTCGACGAGACCCTTCAAACCTCAGAGACCTCAGAACTGTGCCTTTCACTTGGACGAAAAGTGAGGTCCCTGGCCCCTGGGTCCCTTGGGGGCCCGGGCTCTGAAAGGTAACGCTGCACGGCGCGGAGGTCCCCGAATTTGCAGGCCTCTTGGAGTGTCAGCCTCAACTTCGCACTCGTTCCGTGTCGTTTGGCTATGTGGAACAGACGGCCCTGGCCCTAAAAGGCATGTTTCAAGCGGTCGGATGCGCATCTTCTCTGAACGATTCTGGCTCAAAACAGACGCCATTGGCTGTGGAGTACAGGCTGAGGAATCACCCAGGCACCACGCGGTGTTTTGCGGATGCGCTCCGCATTTCTTAATGCCTGAGATGGGACCTCAAACGCACACATGCCAGCAACACCAAGCAGCAATCAAATTCCACACACTGGGATATGGATCCACAATGCCCATGTGTTTTTCCTCTGAATTGAAAATGCCACGTGGTGCGTCAAGTTGACATTCTGGATCGTGTTAATGGTTGCAGACACTACCGATTATGCCGATTGGTTGATCCATATGAAACGAGAAATGCGCCCACACCGAGAAATGCGGTCCTTTTGGGACCCGACTCCGCCCATCTTGTTGCTGATCTTTTGCATCAGCTCTTTGTCTTCCAGGTGGTCCCGTATCTCGGACCGGGCTGAGCATGCGCCGGCTGAGCATGTGTTTTCAGGGAACGGGCACATGTTTGGGAGCTGAACTTCAAAGGTCACGCTTTTTAAGGCATGACCCTCTCCTCAGCTCTCCCTCTGCTCCTGCCTGCTGGACTTGGTAGTCCTTGATGGATGCAAACCTCGCAGCGAAATAGTGCAAAACCTCCAAGAACCGAACTTGGTGCTGGTCTCCAGAAGATTGGAACACAAAACAAAAGCTACCTGAACCTGTCTATATATTATATATCGTGTATATATGTTGGGTCTATCCTATTACCTGTAACAGTGGATGGTGATGGTTAGTAAAGGCCTTATTCAAAAATGATGATAATTGTTTACTGACTGTTACAGGTAATTAATAGGACTGACAGACCCAATATATATTGTCGGTAGCAACCGGAATCGTACTGTCCACACGCTCTTTTCACTGCGAAAGCGAGCACGGTATAGCTCAAGGGCCCTAGGAGCCAAACGGCGGCAGACACAACATAGTGTGACAACCTGGCTCAACAGAATGAGATCCTACCTCAAATTCACACTCAACCTGTTCTACAGGTGTCACACGGCTATACATTGAAACTCTTGTGTCTTCCTAAGGCATTGGAGAAATCTACTTCTGCTTCTGTACAGTGTAGTGGCACTCCTTCAGCACTCGAAGTAGCAGATCTGGCTTCATGGACTTCGTCAGACAGTCCGACACCATCGTACTGGTGGCGATCCAGATCAACTTGTCTCCTCCATTCTCGAAAGCAATCCATGTTGGTCTTCCTTCTTGCCACAAATTCTCATGGATTCCTTGCAACTCGATACCAAGGCGCTTGTCACTCACCTTGGCCAGGACTTCCTGATTGAGGTGGTCAGAAAGCGAACGGCAATCAGTCATCGCCAAATGCGGAATGCATTCTCGGGCATCATCTTCCCATGTCTTCAGACTGCGAATCTTACCCTTAATCTCTGCAATCACACCTCTCAGCTTGTCACCTGTCTCGAGTCCGTTCTGGAGGGAATACGTTTCGGCCTGGAGAGTGCTGCGGCAGACTCTCTTAATTGTCGTGGATCCAAAAGACAATGGCATCACCTTATAGGTGGTCGTCTTGTCATCCTTGATCTCCTTGAGATCACCCAGAAAATGGATCCTGCCCTGTTGCGACTTGTAGTTCTTCTCGTTGGAGAAGGAGGCATCTGTGACCGTGATCACACCAACTTCACTCCATTGGAGATGAGCCGCAGGAAAACACAATGCCACATCGTGACCTTTGTGTGCCAGGACAACGACTGCGTTAGCGTCTGCCAACGTGGACACAGTTGCATCTTTAATGCTAGACTGCAAACGGCTTACCCTGTAACCAAGGTCAGGCCTGGTCTGTCTCGAGATCCAGGCGAGCGATCCGGTGATCGATCTGAGCTTCGTGATGTCTCCTTGCTGAAGACGCTCACTGCCTAGCCTAGATCCAACATCTGCTCCATGAATCTTCCTAGTGTTATCTGCTGTGTCGACTTTGATGACCTTGTCATCTCCTCGCACGAACTGCTTCCCACAATATCAAAAGCTGTTAGTGTCTGAGCTGCCGACACTGAACTTGGCAAGAAAAGACTTCATCACTTCCTCGCCTTCCGGAAGAAAACTATAAAGCAAGTCGTCCACGTGAGTGCACATGAGGGCACAAGCATCTCCTCCCTGCTCACCTGGGAGGTAGTACAATCCTGGGAAAAACTGGCTTGCCTTCAGGCCGCTCTTACGTGCATCGGCATCCAAACGCAACCAAAAGCCTCTTCCTGAGTCCGTGATCCCGTATACAGGGACCCTCACGAGAAAAAGGACATTGGGTTCTACACCTGGCAAACCTCCTCTTGGCTGACGCATGAGAAGGACGCGATCCAATGGTCGTCCCTGGAAATACGCCGAGGTGATATCAGCTGAATGGATGTCGGCCTGATGACAGGCTGCCCAACTGCAGACGAGACAGTGCATCTCGACATCGGCCGTTGGACTATCTGACCTCAAACCCTCTGTCATTTCAAAGTTCCCGCACGAAACTAGTCTGCTTTTATACATGGGCTTGTAGTCAGGGTCTCTCCCCTTCTTGTACTCTGCCTTGTCTACATCCACCCATTTGGATGGAATGCATTGGTGCCCTTCGTCAATGAGCTCTTGCGCTTGTTCTGGGGTCAATGCCACTACTGCTCCGAAATCTTCAAATTTGGACCATTCCTTTTGCCTTGTTTCCTGCAGGGCTTTCTGCACTTCTGGAGGCGCAGATTCATAGTGAATGCTCTTTAGAACCTTCTTACCTAGCTCTGCTTCATCCTCAGTCTGGGCAAGAAAACTAGCCCACATGGCATGTGCTTCTTCTCGATCTTGCTCTGGTAGCTCTCCGTCTCTCTGGCGTGCTCTCTCAAAATGTTCTCGAAGAGAAGCTGGCAAGTCGTTTAAATGATCATACACATTAGGCCATGCATGTGAAGCACTCGTGGACTCCCTGCGGGATGGTTGCAATGAGGTACCGCGTTCACTCTCCGGTTCGGCGACACGGGGCCTCACATTGCGACTATGCTCATTTCCTGTGTCAGGGAACGGACGTGAAACGGAGCTAGCGGACCTACTCAACTCTTCAAGCGCATCTTCACCTTCGGATTGGTCTTCATCAAAGAAATCCGGTCTGATTCCTACATCTAACTCATCATCTTCTGGAACAGGGGGTAGTGAACCAGCATCCGGAAATTGGGGTTCGGTTTCTTGAGATTCGATGTGTATTGGGGATCCGGGTTCGCTCGGATCTGCACGTGCATCAAGGAAAGACTGCTGAACACCTTCCTTGACAACGTTTTCGGGAAAAACAGGCTCACCATGCAAAACAGCATGAGCTAGTGCTTCGGTCGGCGTAGCAATCTTCACATTTTGATTGGCGACCAACACTGGAACATTTCCACACAACAACCACAAATTCCTTTCGCCTTCATGGCCTATCACCCGACTAGTGGGACTCCATGTGGTGCCCCCCTTTTGATTGTCTCGACGAAAGGTCACTAGATCACCTACTGCATACTCCCGAGGAAGACTGGAAGCATTGCGAGTAAGCGCACGGGACACCCTTGACGAACAATCTAGGTGAACAAATGCTTTCTGGGCTTCCTGCCTGGCCATGTGCTGTAAGGCGAAAATGCTCTCTGGGTTGTGACGGGCTTCAATAGCTCCAAGCTCGGCAAACCGTTCTTCAGACAATGGGCTCGGATCTGATCGGGGTCCTTTTCCAAGTACCCATTGACTAGGCGAGAAACCTCCGACT